GGGCCCCTGAGCCCAGCCTGCACCCTCTCCAATCCGGGATCCCTCAGGGGATGTCCAACTGGGATGGAGCCTAAAACGGCAGTCGGACATCCTTCTCACAATCCGGGACTACTGGCTCCTAACCGCTCACCTGTCTGCCTGCCTTATCACCCCTAACCTCTCTGCCTGCCTGCCTGATTGCTCCTAACTGCTCTCCTCTGCTGCCTGGTCGCCCCAACTGCCTCTGCCTTGGGACCCGCCACTGTGGCTCTGTCCAGAAGGCTGTCTAGAAGATGTCTGGTCTAATTAGCATATTACCCTTTTATTAGTATAAATATGCATCTCCATGTTCACCGCAGCATTATTTACAATAGCCAAAATATGGAAGCAAGGTATCCATAGATAGATGAATGGATAAAGATGATATGGTGGGTGTATACATACACACACAATGGAGTATTATGCAGCAATAAAGAAGAATAAAATCTTGTCATATGTAACAACATGAATGGACACCTAAAGAGTACTAATGCTAAAATAACTCAAAAAAAGACTACTGTATAATAGTTTGACTTACATGTGGAATAAAAAATAAACAAACAAACAAAACAGACTCATAGAAATAAAGTCCACAGGGATGGTTTCCAGATGGTAAAGAGATGGGGAATTGGGTGAAAAGGGTGAAGGGGAATATAGTCAGCAATATTGTGGTAACTTTACATGGTGACAGATTATTAGGTTAGTGGGGTGATCATACTATAAAGTATAAAAATGTCAAATGACTATTTTGAACACCTGAAACTAATATAATTAATATTGTATGTCAACTATACCTTAAAAAGTTATAATTCCAGTTGAGAGATTCTCCCTTATGCTCACAGTAAGCAAGAAAAGGGACACTTCAGCTGCACATTTTACAAGTCTCTTTGGATAACAGCCATGGCTCATTTATATCCACAGAACCAGAGGCCCAACTGTCTGGTCAGTTAGTATGTCCCTTTACTTTGAGATATACTGAAGATGCACTGTCTGAGATGAGCAATTAGTTTGTTTTCAGTATAGCAGCTGATTTTGCAATGCTGTCCTGGGAACTATTAAAAAGCATCTTTACATACTGTTAGCTTCCTGCACTAGAAGAACTGTCCATATATAAAAGTAAACACCACACAATTTTTTTTGCCAATAAATAAATGATAGTTAATGACACTTCACATAAGTTAAATCAGACACCATTATGAATCAAGGTATTATTAGTTTGAGTAAATTGTAGTGTCATTTGATAGGGCTTTCTTGCAGTTAGCAAAGTGAAGCTAGTCTTAATGCAATATACCTAGCAACAGGTGGCAGACATAAGTGAATAAAGCTTATTTTCCATCAAAAACAATGGTAGGCATACTGTTTTTTCTCCTTTTAATGAAGATTTTATTAGCACATGAAATCTGAACCTGTTACTCAGAAGCAAACTCTAAGCCAACTTCCATAAAGTGTTGGGTGCTGGTGCTTTACAAAGCCAAGCACTGCGAGAAGCAACAAGGTTACATGACAACTGTTTAAAAAGTATAATATAGTGCAAGTTCAAGGGCACTCAGGAAGATGTGAAATGACAAATATCTTTGCAAATTATTATAGACGAAATAAACTAAAAATAGGAGGCTTTTCTATCTCTACTTGAGACAAGATAATGATAAACACTGGGAAAGACTGAGATACACTGCTTTAGCAAGTCCTCTAAGAGTGCCCTATTTTTAGCTCCATGGCCACAAAGCTGATTCAGGTCAGGCCTCCTGCAGGCCCAAGTCCAGAAGTGTAAAAAGGGAAGGGCCTCTCTAAATCAGGTAAATTGGAGGGAAAGACTATTCCTAACTCAAGTCTCTACCCCACTCCCCCCAATGACTGCCATTTAGATTACTTACTCTGACTCCTTCTTAGAAACGATAAATTATTTTGATACTTGAGAAAATGTTGGCAAAAACAAATAAATCCTTTGTACATATTTTTAAAGGACAGCCTGAGGTTGGTGTTACTTCCCTTGCCCCACCCCCACACATACTTTGCCTTTGGCCATAAAGGCTCCATGCTTAGCCCATGTCTACTGAAGAACTGAGCTTTCCCAAAATTCATGGCATTAAGCTTCCGAAACTCTGTATACTAAAAATTACCAGTCACACAAATGGAGGGGATGTTCCCTTAGGCCTAACTTAACACATTTTATTGTATCTCATTGTCATTTATCTGATGTTAGCAATAAGTTCTTTGTACAACTAGCTCTTACCCCTTCTACTTAAAAACAGAAATCCCACTACAAAATAGAGGCTTCTGTATAATCAAGTTCACCAATTATCTATGGCATGGAATACTGAAATAAGGCACACCTTTCTGCTTCAATATAAAGCAAAATCTGGAAATCCAATTCCAAATCAACGCCACTCTTTTATTGGTTTCTACCTCTTCCGGACCGAACTCTAGCTAGAGCTAACAGAACATATAATGTACTTTCACCTCTCCCCTCTGCTTCCGGAGTGCTCAGGCGTGCAGGGAGGCTGAGTCAGAAGCAGCAGGACAGACAGAGATGTGGAGAATTCATAAATGGGACATGCTGTGTGCCTACTACTAATAGTGAAGGCTGGGGTGGGTGTGTGCCACAGCGACACTGGAACATCCTAAATTTCTAAAAATTGGAGAAAAATAATGAACTGGAAAAGACAGAGCTTGATTTGGGAAGCTTTAAGAAGAACGTCTGAGTGACAATGACACCTACTACAAAGGGGCATACCAGTTCAACCAATTTCTTGTTTTAAAAAAAGATTTCATGCTGCTGATGTGAAGAGAGGCCTTTGGAAAATAAATGACTGGTCTACATGTTTTTGATGTTGAAAAAAAATTAGAATAGACTGGTCTACAGCTGTTAAGTAAAACATTTTTCACAAAGAGAACTTTTGAAAGCTATTTAGCATTCAAAAAGGTGAGGGAAACAGAAACCTAAAAACTCCATGGAGGGGAGGAGTGAATCCCCTTAAGCAAAGGAAAGCAACCTGCGAATGGTATGAAACACACACCAGGGCAGTAACGTGAACTTTCGTCCAACTATTTTGGCAGATATTTTCAATACAGGATGGGTTCTGGTGGCTGCATACCTATCAACCACACGGTGTTATATAACGCGGAACCGGCTCTCTTACCCCCAAAAAAAATCAGAAACAACTTCCTAAGCAACTGTTTGAGAATGTGATTTTGACCATTAACGGGAAAA